TCTCTCTCCGCGCTGTCTATCCACGTTGTACAAGTCTCCCCCGTAGCCAAACGCTGCGGTGACCTCCAGTGGAGGTTGGACACTGGACGTTTCCATCGGCGTGTGGCTCAGCCGAATCTCGCCAGGGGTAACAGACTGTGCATTTGCTGCGGTGCCAGGGAGGATCTGCCCCACCGGTACTTACACTGCCAGCGGCTCAAACCAATGTTCCGCTTTTTGGGGGAAACTTCAGGAAAACGGGTGCCCTTCTACAACAGCAGCTTCGTATATGGGGTGGTGCCTACCTGGCTAACAAGCGCCATGACCTCGCCAACTTCGCTTGTGCTCAGGCGAAATGGCGGTGTACAGAACGAGAAAAAATGCTGGAAGGTGACACGACGGCTGCTCTGTGGAGCTTCCAGTGTTCAGGGGCCTGCTCAAGGCGCGGCTCCGGATGGAGCACGCCATGTACCACACACGTGGCGGTGATGTGCAGCGCGTTTCTTCGAACGCTGGGGGGCCGGACAAGCCCTCTCTGCACCAGCGGGACGGCACCCTCGTGGTGTTCACCTTCTGAAGCGCTCGCTCGTCATCGTGGCGTGTGCGATGACACACCACAGGGCTTTCTTTCGTGTTGTGCGCGGTGCATCTAAGCGCAGAGTGCGTGGTTTTGTGTTATTTGTTACTGGTGACTGCGTATTTCGTATCGGAATCGCCTCCAGTGCTGTTGCGGCTGGCGACAATAAAAGGTTTTTAAAAGTCAAAGTCTCCCCACAGTGCTCTCCCCCACTCTCCCACCGTGTCTCTCCGCTGTCTCTCTCCACGCTGTATTCTCCCAACTCTCTCCACACCGTGTCTCTCCGCTGTCTCTCTCCGCTGTCTCTCTACTCTCTCTCCCCACCGTCTCTCTCCCCGCTGTCTCTCCACGCTGTCTCGCTCGCGTCTCTCTCCCCACTCTCTCTCCCCCACGCTGTCTCTCTCCCCCAACTCTCCTCCCCACCGTGTCTCTCTCCGCTGTCTCTCCGCGCTGTCTCTCTCCCCAACTCTCCACACGTGTTCTCTCTCCGCTGTCTCTCCGCTGTCTCTCTCCCCACTCTCACCCCTCCCCACCGTGTCTCTCCCCCACCTCTCCCACCGGTGTCTCTCTCCACGCTGTCTCCTCCCCACTCTCTCTCCCGCTGTCTCTCTCCCCACTCTCTCCCCACCGTGTCTCTCTCCACGCTGTCTCTCTCCCCCACTCTCTCCCCACGTGTCTCTCTCCCCGCTGTCTCTCTCCGCTGTCTCTCTCCCATCTCTCCCCACCGTGTCTCTCTGCGCTGTCTCTCTCCACGCTGTCTCTATCCCCACACTCTCTCCCCACCGTGTCTCTCCCCGCTGTCTCTCTCCACGCTGTCTCTACCCCACTCTCTCCCCACCGTGTGCTCTCTCCCCGCTGTCTCTCTCCCCCACTCTCTCCCCACCGTGGTCTCTCTCCCCCACTCTCTCCCCCACCGTGTCTCTCTCCCCCCACTCTCTCCCCACCGTGTCTCTCTCCACGCTGTCTCTCTCCCCCACTCTCTCCCACCGTGTCTCTCTCCACGCTGTCTCTCTCCCCCACTCTCTCCCCACCGTGTCTCTCTCCCCGCTGTCTCTCTCCCCCACTCTCTCCCCACCGGTTCTCTCTCCCCCCACTCTCCCCACCGTGTCTCTCTCCACGCTGTCTCTCTCCCCCACTCTCTCCCCACCGTGTCTCTCTCCGCGTCTCTCTCCCCGCTGTCTCTCCGCACCGTGTCTCTCTCCCTGCTATCCTCTCCGCTGTCTCTCTCCCGCTGTCTCTCTCCGCTCTCTCTCTCCCCACTGTCTCTCGCACCGTGTCTCTCTCCCTGCTATCTCTCCGCTGTCTCTCTCCCCACTGTCTCTCCGCACCGGTGTCTCTCTCCCACTGTCTCTCCGCACCGTGTCTCTCTCCCCGCTGTCTCTCTCCGCTGTCTCTCTCCCCACTGTCTCTCAGCACCGTGTCTCTCTCCCCACTGTCTCTCTCCGCTGTCTCTATCCCCACTCTCTCTCCCCACCGTGTCTCTCTCCCCCACTCTCTCCAGCCCATTCTCGGCCTCGAGTCTTCAACCGCTCGTGCTTTAAGCCCCCGGCAGCCTGGACCCTGTCGAACCCCCCCTCCCCCCAAGCCTCCTTCCCCCTTCCTTGGCGTGCCCTCTTCACCTACTCCTCTCCTCAATGGCGCCGTCTAGTGGACAGAGGGCGAGTTTAGTTCTCGAGCTCGGTCGATTGGCACTGTGATGATCTTGACGCGATCATCGCGATCTTCATCATAGTCCTCATCATGATTGTGGGATTCGTAGAGACATCGTCCTCTTCCCCCATATGCTGTGACGTCTCAAGAGCGCTGTACCACACGCGTCTCGTATCAACGCGTTTGAAAGGGCACCCCCTCCCACAGTGGCAGCTGTCCCTGTGTGTAAGTTGAACTTCTTTCGCACCGTACCGTAGCCAACCGTGCTAATTCGGAGGTGCGGGGGGGGGGGAAGGATAACAAACTAAAGACAAAAGGCAGTTCTAAAGAAGTGAGTTTATCAATCTAAATGATGAAGTAAAAGTGCGTAGCTCCCCAGTGGCTTTCTAATATCAGAAAGGAAGAGCGTTCCAGACGGTCACAGAAGCAGCGCATCTGAACGCGCGTGACGCAGTCTTTGTTCGCACAGTGGGGGTCACAGGCGGTGCATCGGCCACTCATTATTTATTACTTCCCTTCTACGTGACTTTACCGAAAAAACCAAGAAGATCATCTCGGCCAGTCAACCGCATGGCACCTGCTGGGTCGACGCTTCACGTGGCTTTAACGTGCACAAAGCCTGGCAACAAACGCCGTGGTGGTGACGTCACCGCCACTTAGGTGGCGAATAGCGGTTGTTGTTGTCGTCGCCGGTGTGGTGGCCGTGAGCGGGAATCGAACTCGGGTCGCCGGGTTCGTAGCGCAGCGCACTAACCGCTGCACAACCGCTCCCCACGCACGTGCACACACGGATAGGTCGATATGCGCGCGCGCGCGCACAAAATAGCAATCATGCCTCACTCAGTGCTGGCAACGTCACCACAGAGCTTTTGCCAGGTTAGGGGCACTGACAAAAGACAAAGATCCCCCGTATAGCTTTTAACAGACTGTTGGGACAAGTGCCGTTATCATTACCAAAGGCCGAAACAGCACACGAGGGGGTGGGTGGCCAGCACCACGCTCCGGCCGCCTTTGTCTCCCCCAATGCTGATGTTTACACACCGCACCAGGTGCTCATTTAAGGCTGAGGCGACCTAAGGGAAGTCCCCAGGACAGTAGGGATTGTTCACCACTTAAGTTGGCCGCGAGCAGGAATCGAACTCGGGTCGCTGGGTTCGTAGCATTGACACACGCCAGCTCACGCGCGCACACCTACATACACTTAATTACAAATATATTAACACGTTTGACACACACGCGTGCACACAGCGAAACTTCTTCTATGACATTTATTGCCGTCACATTTTAGAAATCGCTGTAAATCTGAACTCGGGAACCTCCGTTTGGCACAAATCCGTCACCTTCATTACGACGCTCCTGACCGCTGGAGACGCGCACGAGCCCCGAGTGACAGGACACTCAGACGAAGCACGGCACGGCTCGACACACACGGCCAGGGGTACTCGCCGACACACACAAGAGCACTCACCAACACACAGAGAGCACTCACCAATACACACACACAGCGCACTCACCAACACACACACACAGACACCACTCACCGACACGTACACACCACTCACCGACACAGAGCACTCACAAACACACACAGCACTCATCGACACACACACACCACTCACCAACACACATAGAGAGCACTCACTGACACACACACAGACACCACTCACCGACACGCACACACAGCACTCACTAACACAGACACCACTCACCGACACGCACACACCACTCACCACTCACCAACACACACACACCACTCACCAACACACACAGAGAGCACTCACCAACACACACAGCACTGATCCACAAGCACAGATGGAACGCACCGACACGCACGGACCTTTACTCGACGGTCTCCTACAGGCTCGGGGCGCCATCACTCGCTCGTATTTACGTCGACGATTTCCCAATCGGCAGAGACAAGATGAACCCCTACGCTGCGCCCACTCTCGACCGATCGCTTTCGCACACGGGCCGAGTGTGGGATCCGACTACGCGGAAGGCGACTGCTGAAAGTCCGTGGCGGAAAAAAAAATCACCCGCACTGCTTCGGAGTAAAGCGGCACGCAATTAGAGAAAGCGCCGCGATTTCTCCTTCCGCGGAATCAAAGCCTGGGGCCTAACAACCCCCCCTCTGGAGCCTAACCTCCCCTCTGAGGCCTAACCATCCTCTGGGGCCTATACCCCCCCTGGGGTCTAACCCCCCCCTGGGGCCGCAGGGGGGGGGCCACAGGGGGGGGGCCGCAGGGGGGGGCCGCAGGGGGGGGCCTTCCCAGAACACCCCCGGAGCGGTTCCGGATCGGTTCCGGATCGTCGCCTCGCATTCCGACGGTGACCACCTGCCGAGATAAGACGTGAAGCACTGACACGAGTCCGACAAGGCGCGCGCGTGGCATAACGAACGACGCAGTGTAATATTATTGCGATAATTAGTGTTGTCAGTCCTATCGAACCAGGCCAGAAGATGCCACGGTAAAGCGCAGCGTTCGACTCACAATCGCGGTCAAGTCCCGGTCACGGGTTGACTCGGAACATCCATCGTTATTCTCCCTCCAGCGTCAAGAAAATGAGCAGCCACCTCGATAGGATGTCAACCGTGAGACCGTGTTTTTGGAGGAACAGTCTCTGCCAAAGGAACGTGGAATTTCTACGTACGTGTCCGCCCCGAACTTCTTTTCGCGCCGCGCGTAGCCAACCGTGCTAATCGGAGGGTGCGGAGTCAGGCCCGCCGCCAGAGATGGGAGCGGGGGGTGGGGGGGGGGGCAGAGGGTGGGGGAGGGGGCAGAGGGTGGGGGGGGGCAGAGGGTGGGGGGGGCAGAGGGTGGGGGGGGGCACCCTCCGACTTGGACCTCACGTCGGTGCCAGAGGTCCAAAGTGAAACGCGTGCTCGTCTCGTGACGACGACGATGGCAACAATCGAGATAAAGGCGGAGAAAAAGGTACTATATATCTATTTATTTTTAAACGGAGTCAATTCCTGAATGGGTAACCCATGGTGGGCAAACCGTTCCGTAACCCATCAACTCATCAGTCTACTCTGAAATTTAGTAAAAGCAGCCCTTTTAAGATTGCTTCCCGAGCCCCTCCCCCCGCCTCTCTCTCTCTCTCTCTGTAGCTACAAAGGGCAGGGTGGATGGTGTGCCCCCTGGCTCACAAATCATGGGAACTGACTTCGTGTCCTAGTGCTCTGCCTGGGCCGGAACCAGTCTGACAGCAGGCCAGCACGGGCCCGGTTGCCAAGTGGCAACAGCCCAGCTGAGCCAGCGTGGCACTCTCACGGCAACGGGTAGTAGCCCAGAGCCAAACCGTGCTACGCTGGCGTCACCAGACGTCTGAAACCCGCTCGGGGCCAAGCCGGGGCGGGCTCGGCTCGGCTCGCGCAGTGGAAAAACCGCCCTGGCGCCTCCTGAGCCGCACCAGGGCTGGCCACGGCACGGCACGGCTCGGTTGTCGGTGTAGCAAAGAGGTGATGGAGAAGCAGAGTCGATCACGGAGCCCGGGCCAGAACTGGGCCGGCAGTGGTTGTGGAAAGGACGCGCGAGCCACCGTTCCCCGTGTGGCCGGTGCCCCCCTGGGCTGCGATCACATGACGCTGCACCAGGTCCTCCTCCTCCCGTTCACAGGCTCCGTGTCGTCTTCGCTGCTCGAAGCCCTGGAACTTGAGCCTGGATGATGGAAAACGACGGGCGGGGGGGAGGGGGAGGAGGTTTACAATGGCTGTGTCAGACACACTGGAGAGATTAACTATATTGGTATCTCTGTCTCTCAGGGGATTGAAAATGGCCATGCCACAGATACTGAGAAAGCGCCATCAAGATCCTGGTTTCAAAATACCAAGGCCAAGTCTGGATGTGTCTCTCTATCTGTCTCGGGGGGTTCTTAATGGCTGTGTTGAAAACACCAGACTGATTTAGAATGTGAAGTCCAAACTAAACTATTTTTATTTTACTAGGTTAATGCCCACTGAGCTATATTGCTCTTTTTCAGAAGCGACCTGGCTATTACAAATGATAGCTCAACGAAGTGGCTCATCACGTGGAAATGTACGGCAGCCAAATACATAAACACGTGATGTTCATTCTAAGTGTGGAGGGGAAAACCGGAGGACCCGGGAGAAAAATCCACGTGGCCACGGGGAGAGAGAGAGCAGACTCCAAATATACAGCAGCAGGTGTCTGGGGTCGGGATCGAACCCACGACCTCACTGTATACCAGGCGAGGTAGTTAACATCTTCAAGCCACTGCGGTGATGAGATAAAGACGCAGACTCCAAATATACAGCGTCAGGGTCAGGATCGAACCCACGACCTCCCGTAGAAAAGGCGTGGTGCGGTGGCGAATATGAGTGGAGGTCTCATCGTGAAGAAAATACAACGCAGGCTACGGTCACGGCGCTCCGCCGCAGCTCGGAGGCAGTGATGTCAGTGGCGAAATGAAAAGTTTTGGACTGGTGTGAAGATCTCGGATGTGGCATGACGTATTACCACTTCAGCAGCACCGCCGGTGTTGCTGTTGCAGTAGGGACAGCGACCCGCACACACCAAACAACTCGAGAGCACATGTCTCGCCGATGGTTACAGCCAGCAGCATCATCATCACCATCAGGCATAATACGGGATACCGGTTGTAATTACTGGCGAAACGTCGTACTCAGATTGTAAATGTTGTGGATTTGCTCTCCAACATACCGGTGTGGCTGTACTAGTAACGAATTGGCACGTTCTGTTTATTCTAGATTTGAAGCTTTCGTGACTGCAAGGATTCATACTCTTAGGTTTTTTCGGTAAAGTCACGTAGGTAAAAAATAAAAATAAATAATAAAAATTATAGAAATAATAATAGAAATAAAATCACTTGATACAGTAAATCTAGCTGTGACGGTTCCACCTGATGACGGAGACTTATTATTTGTATTTTTTATTTTTACCTACGTGACTTTACCGAAAAAACCTAAGAGTACGTTACGCTTACATGACAAACCTTACTAATTGGCTGTTTCGGGTGGTGGCGGGTTAAACGACACATTGATATTAACGCGATCTAACCCAAAAAAAATCCCGTATATTATGGGTGATATTGGTCGCGAAGGCCTACGTGTTAAACCATCCGGCAGTTGTCAAAATGTTCTTGGTCAACTGCATGATGACGAAGACAGTCCCAAAAACACAAGTACCAATGATACTCATTTAAAGATTCACATTGATAATGTTCGGTCGATCGGTTGATCGATCACAAGAAGGGCCAACAGCCGCGGCCCTCTGGGTCATGCGGCTCTGGGTGGTGCGGCTCTGGGTGGTGCGGCTCTGGGTGGTGCGGCTCTGGGTGGTGCGGCTCTGGTGGTGCGGCTCTGGTGGTGCGGCTCTGGGTGGTGCGGCTCTGGGTGGTGCGGCTCTGGGTGGTGCGGCTCTGGGTGGTGCGGCTCTGGGTGGTGCGGCTCTGGGTGGTGCGGCTCTGGTGGTGCGGCTCTGGGTGGTGCGGCTCTGGGTGGTGCGGCTCTGGGTGGTGCGGCTCTGGGTGGTGCGGCTCTGGGTGGTGCGGCTCTGGGTGGTGCGGCTCTGGGTGGTGCGGCTCTGGGTGGTGCGGCTCTGGGTGGTGCGGCTCTGGGTGGTGCGGCTCTGGGTGGTGCGGCTCTGGGTGGTGCGGCTCTGGGTGGTGCGGCTCTGGGTGGTGCGGCTCTGGGTGGTGCGGCTCTGGGTGGTGCGGCTCTGGGTGGTGCGGCTCTGGGTGGTGCGGCTCTGGGTGGTGCGGCTCTGGGTGGTGCGGCTCTGGGTGGTGCGGCTCTGAGTGGTGCGGCTCTGCGTGGTGCGGCTCTGAGTGGTGCGGCTCTGGGTGGTGCGGCTCTGAGTGGTGCGGCTCTGGGTGGTGCGGCTCTGGGTGGTGCGGCTCTGGGTGGTGCGGCTCTGGTGGTGCGGCTCTGGGTGGTGCGCTCTGAGTGGTGCGGCTCTGGGTGGTGCGGCTCTGGGTGGTGCGCTCTGGGTGGGTGCGGCTCTGGGTGGTGCGGCTCTGGGTGGTGCGGCTCTGGTGGTGCGGCTCTGGGTGGTGCGGCTCTGGGTGGTGCGGCTCTGGTGGTGCGGCTCTGGATGGTGCGGCTCTGGGTGGTGCGGCTCTGGGTGGTGAGGCTCTGGGTGGTGTGGCTCTGGTGGTGTGGCTCTGGGTGGTGCGGCTCTGGGTGGTGCGGCTCTGGGTGGTGCGGCTCTGGGTGGTGCGGCTCTGGGTCATGTGGCTCTGGGTGGTGGTGGCTCTGGGTGGTGGCGGCTCTGGGTGGGCGGCTCTGGGTGGTGCGGCTCTGGGTGGTTCGGCTCTGGGTGGTGCGGCTCTGGGTGGTGTGGCTCTGGGTGGTGCGGCTCTGGGTGGTTGCAGCTCTGGGTGGTGCGGCTCTGGGTGGTGCGGCTCTGGGTGGTGCAGCTCTGGGTGGTGCGGCTCTGGGTGGTGCGGCTCTGGGTGGTGCAGCTCTGGGTGGTGTGGCTCTGGGGTGGTGCGGCTCTGGGTGGTGCAGCTCTGGGTGGTGTGGCTCTGGGTGGTGCGGCTCTGGGTGGTGCGGCTCTGGGTGGTGCGGCTCTGGGTGGTGCGGCTCTGGGTGGTGCGGCTCTGGGTGGTGTGGCTCTGGGTGGTGAGGCTCTGGGTGGTGTGGCTCTGGGTCATGCGGCTCTGGGTGGTGCGGCTCTGGGTGGTGCGGCTCTGGGTGGTGCAGCTCTGGGTGGTGTGGCTCTGGGTGGTGCGGCTCTGGGTGGTGTGGCTCTGGGTGGTGCGGCTCTGGGTGGTGTGGCTCTGGGTGGTGCGGCTCTGGGTGGTGCGGCTCTGGGTGGTGTGGCTCTGGGTGGTGTGGCTCTGGGTGGTGAGGCTCTGGGTGGTGTGACTCTGGGTGGTGTGACTCTGGGTGGTGAGACTCTGGGTGGTGAGACTCTGGGTGGTGTGGCTCTGGGTGGTGTGGACTCTGGGTGGCGTGACTCTGGGTGGTGCGGCTCTGGCTGGTGAGACTCTGGGTGGTGTGGCTCTGGTGGTGCGGCTCTGGGTGGTGCGGCTCTGGGTGGTGTGGCTCTGGGTGGTGCGGCTCTGGGTGGTGTGGCTCTGGGTGGTGCGGCTCTGGGTGGTGCGACTCTGGGTGGTGTGGCTCTGGGTGGTGGCTCTGGGTGGTCGGCTCTGGGTGGTGCGGCTCTGGGTGGTGCGGCTCTGGGTGGTGCTGGCTCTGGGGTGTGGTCTGGTGGTGCGGCTCTGGGTGGTGTGGCTCTGGGTGGTGCGGCTCTGGGTGGTGTGGCTCTGGGTGGTGCGGCTCTGGGTGGTGTGGCTCTGGGTGGTGCGGCTCTGGGTGGTGTGGCTCTGGGTGGTGCGGCTCTGGGGTAGGTGTGGCTCTGCGTGGTGCGGCTCTGGTAGTGCGGCTCTGGGTGGTGCGGCTCTGGGTGGTGTGGCTCTGGTGGTGCGGCTCTGGGTGGTGTGGCTCTGGGTGGTGCGGCTCTGGGTGGTGTGGCTCTGGGTGTGTGGGCTCTGGGTAGTGCGGCTCTGGGTAGTGCGGCTCTGGGTCATGCGGCTCTGGGTCATGGTCGGCTCTGGGTGGTGCGGCTCTGGGTGGTGCGGCTCTGGGTGGTGCGGGCTCTGGGTGGTGTGGCTCTGGGTGGTGTGGCTCTGGGTGGTGCGGCTCTGGGTGGTGTGGCTCTGGGTGGTGCGGCTCTGGGTGGTGCGGCTCTGGGTGGTGCGGCTCTGGGTGGTGTGGCTCTGGGTGGTGTGGCTCTGGGTCATGCGCTCTGGGTGGTGGTGGCTCTGGTGGTGCGGCTCTGGGTGGTGCGGCTCTGGGTGGTGCGGCTCTGGGTGGTGCGGCTCTGGGTGGTGTGGCTCTGGGTGGTGCGGCTCTGGGTGGTGCGGCTCTGGGTCATGTGGCTCTGGGTGGTGCGGCTCTGGGTGGTGCGGCTCTGGGTGGTGTGGCTCTGGGTGGTGAGGCTCTGGGTGGTGTGGCTCTGGGTGGTGTGGCTCTGGGTCATGTGGCTCTGGGTCATGTGGCTCTGGGTGGTGCGGCTCTGGGTGGTGAGACTCTGGGTGGTGTGGCTCTGGGTCATGTGACTCTGGGTGGTGTGGCTCTGGGTGGTGCGGCTCTGGGTGGTGTGGCTCTGGGTGGTGCGGCTCTGGGTGGTGCGGCTCTGGGTCATGTGGCTCTGGGTGGTGCGGCTCTGGGTGGTGCGGCTCTGGGTCATGTGGCTCTGGGTGGTGTGGCTCTGGGTGGTGGGGCTCTGGGTGGTGCGGCTCTGGGTCATGCGGCTCTGGGTCATGTGGCTCTGGGTGGTGCGGCTCTGGGTGGTGCGGCTCTGGGTCATGTGGCTCTGGGTGGTGCGGCTCTGGGTGGTGTGGCTCTGGGTGGTGCGGCTCTGGGTCGTGTGGCTCTGGGTGGTGCGGCTCTGGGTGGTGAGACTCTGGGTGGTGCGGCTCTGGGTCATGTGGCTCTGGGTGGTGTGGCTCTGGGTGGTGGGGCTCTGGGTGGTGGGGCTCTGGGTGGTGTGGCTCTGGGTGGTGCGGCTCTGGGTGGTGTGGCTCTGGGTGGTGCGGCTCTGGGTGGTGAGACTCTGGGTGGTGCGGCTCTGGGTCATGTGGCTCTGGGTGGTGTGGCTCTGGGTGGTGTGGCTCTGGGTGGTGGGGCTCTGGGTGGTGTGGCTCTGGGTGGTGCGGCTCTGGGTGGTGAGGCTCTGGGTGGTGTGACTCTGGGTGGTGTGACTCTGGGTGGTGAGACTCTGGGTGGTGAGACTCTGGGTGGTGTGGCTCTGGGTGGTGTGACTCTGGGTGGCGTGACTCTGGGTGGTGCGGCTCTGGCTGGTGAGACTCTGGGTGGTGTGGCTCTGGGTGGTGCGGCTCTGGGTGGTGCGGCTCTGGGTGGTGTGGCTCTGGGTGGTGCGGCTCTGGGTGGTGTGGCTCTGGGTGGTGCGGCTCTGGGTGGTGCGACTCTGGGTGGTGTGGCTCTGGGTGGTGCGGCTCTGGGTGGTGCGGCTCTGGGTGGTGCGGCTCTGGGTGGTGCGGCTCTGGGTGGTGTGGCTCTGGGTGGTGTGGCTCTGGGTGGTGCGGCTCTGGGTGGTGTGGCTCTGGGTGGTGCGGCTCTGGGTGGTGTGGCTCTGGGTGGTGCGGCTCTGGGTGGTGTGGCTCTGGGTGGTGCGGCTCTGGGTGGTGTGGCTCTGGGTGGTGCGGCTCTGGGTGGTGTGGCTCTGCGTGGTGCGGCTCTGGGTAGTGCGGCTCTGGGTGGTGCGGCTCTGGGTGGTGTGGCTCTGGGTGGTGCGGCTCTGGGTGGTGTGGCTCTGGGTGGTGCGGCTCTGGGTGGTGTGGCTCTGGGTGGTGTGGCTCTGGGTAGTGCGGCTCTGGGTAGTGCGGCTCTGGGTCATGCGGCTCTGGGTCATGCGGCTCTGGGTGGTGCGGCTCTGGGTGGTGCGGCTCTGGGTGGTGCGGCTCTGGGTGGTGTGGCTCTGGGTGGTGCGGCTCTGGGTGGTGCGGCTCTGGGTGGTGTGGCTCTGGGTGGTGCGGCTCTGGGTGGTGCGGCTCTGGGTGGTGTGGCTCTGGGTGGTGTGGCTCTGGGTCATGCGGCTCTGGGTGGTGTGGCTCTGGGTGGTGCGGCTCTGGGTGGTGCGGCTCTGGGTGGTGCGGCTCTGGGTAGTGCGGCTCTGGGTGGTGTGGCTCTGGGTGGTGCGGCTCTGGGTGGTGCGGCTCTGGGTCATGTGGCTCTGGGTGGTGCGGCTCTGGGTGGTGCGGCTCTGGGTGGTGTGGCTCTGGGTGGTGCGGCTCTGGGTGGTGTGGCTCTGGGTGGTGTGCTCTGGGTCATGTGGCTCTGGGTCATGTGGCTCTGGGTGGTTGCGGCTCTGGGTGGTGAGACTCTGGGTGGTGTGGCTCTGGGTCATGTGACTCTGGGTGGTGTGGCTCTGGGTGGTGCGGCTCTGGGTGGTGTGGCTCTGGGTGGTGCGGCTCTGGGTGGTGCGGCTCTGGGTCATGTGGCTCTGGGTGGTGCGGCTCTGGGTGGTGCGGCTCTGGGTCATGTGGCTCTGGGTGGTGTGGCTCTGGGTGGTGGTGCTCTGGGTGGTGCGGCTCTGGGTCATGCGGCTCTGGGTCATGTGGCTCTGGGTGGTGCGGCTCTGGGTGGTGCGGCTCTGGGTCATGTGGCTCTGGGTGGTGCGGCTCTGGGTGGTGTGGCTCTGGGTGGTGCGGCTCTGGGTCGTGTGGCTCTGGGTGGTGCGGCTCTGGGTGGTGGGGCTCTGGGTGGTGCGGCTCTGGGTCATGTGGCTCTGGGTGGTGTGGCTCTGGGTGGTGGGGCTCTGGGTGGTGGGGCTCTGGTGGTTGGTGTGGCTCTGGGTGGTGCGGCTCTGGGTGGTGTGGCTCTGGGTGGTGCGGCTCTGGGTGGTGAGACTCTGGGTGGTGCGGCTCTGGGTCATGTGGCTCTGGGTGGTGTGGCTCTGGGTGGTGTGGCTCTGGGTGGTGGGGCTCTGGGTGGTGTGGCTCTGGGTGGTGCGGCTCTGGGTGGTGCGGCTCTGGGTGGTGCGGCTCTGGGTGGTGTGGCTCTGGGTGGTGCGGCTCTGGCTGGTGAGACTCTGGGTGGTGCGGCTCTGGGTGGTGCGGCTCTGGGTGGTGTGGCTCTGGGTGGTGCGGCTCTGGGTGGTGCGGCACTGGGTGGTGCGGCTCTGGGTGGTGCGACTCTGGGTGGTGCGGCTCTGGGTGGTGCGAGTGATATTTGGTTGCTATAGATTTCCACGTGATAAGCCACTTTGCTGAACGATCATTTGTGGCCAGGTCGCTTCTGAAAAATAAGTGAATGCATCGGTGGGCTTTGCCTGGTAGGATGGGGATGGCTTCGTTTAATTTGGATGTGTTTAGGTGACCTGTTCGCTCTTTCTTGTACTCCTATCGTGTTTTTGTATTGTTTGGCGTCGTAACGTTCTTACCTCGCGCCCCTTCTGGACATCTGTGGAAAAGAGCTTCACAGGCTCATCGGATTCCTCCTCCAGCATAAATAAAGATTGTGTTTCTCCGCTGCACTCACCGAGCGAGCTGTCGGAGGCCGAGCTCTCGTCGTCGCTCCAGACTTCTTCGTCTCGCTCAAACTCGCGCCGGAAGCTCGAGGCCACAACATGTCTGCACGCATGCACGGACAAAGATATAGGCTCCCCCGTGTAGCCTTAATAGACTGAGGCTGAGTCGACCTAGTGGAGGCCCAGGACCGGTTAAGATGTATATATACATGTTAAACTTCTTTTGAACGGTACATAGCCAACCGTGCTAATCGGACGTGCGATTAGCACGATAATCGTCACTGGCGTTCATGACCGTGAGCGGGAATCGAACTCGGGTGGCCGGGTTTGTAGCGCGGCGTGCTAACCACTGCACTACCGCTCCCCAAACACAGACAAAGACAAGGCTCCCCCTCATAGCCTCAACAGACTGTCGGGGTAAGTGCTGTGGCGAGCACCTATGCAGGCCAGCACGGCACACGAGAGAGTGGGTGGGCGGCACCAGTGGCGATGTTTACACACCGCACCGGATACTCATTTGAGGCCGAGTCGACTTAGGGGAGGCCCAGGACCGGTTCAGATAATCGTCACAGGTGGTGGCCTTGAGAGATGAGTGACACGTACCCGTGCGTGAGTGACGAGTAACCTCACGTGTGCCAGTGACGTCTGCCCGCGTACCCGTTTTCGCGGTGGTGGCTGTTGGCTCCGCCCCCGTGCGGGAGCTCCTCCCACAGGAGGAGGCTCCGCCCCCCCGTGCCCCAGCGCTGCAGGCCGCTGGGGGTGCAGGTGGTGGCGACGCAGAGCAGGCGGGGGGTCGCCTCACCCCCCAGCGTCGCTACGTACGGCTCCCCGCCCTCCGCGAGCAGCCGCACTGAATGCACGGGGGGGGGGGGGGGGGGCAGGGGAGGGGCAACGGGCGAGAGGACGGAGACACGAAACTAGAACTCATCTTCTTGGATCTTTCGGTAAAGTCACGTAGAATTGAAATAATAAAATAATAAAAATAAAACATAATAAAATAATTCTCACGACGTTTCGGCCACAACCGAAAGAACCAAGAAGATGAATCCCTGCAGTCACGAAAGCTTTAAATAGAAACTAGAACTGTTTTTTTATTTTATCAGGTAAGGGCCACTGAGCTATATCGCTTGTTTTTAGAAGCGACCTGGCCATCACAAATGATAGCTCAACTAAGTGGCTTATCGCGTGGACATCTACAGCAGCCAAATACTGCAAACGCGTGCGGTTAATTCGAAATGAGGGAAAAACCGGAGGACCCGGAGAAAAATCGACTCGACTACGAAGGAGAGAGAGAGAGACACGTAAACTCCAAACATACCGCAGGCATTAGGGTCGGGATCGAACCAACGACTTCCTGCACACCAGGCGCCACGGTGGCGGGAGCAGTGGCTGCTCAGGTGCAGAGGTCGCAACCGGGTACCCGATACCCGTACCCTACCCGATACCCGGCTACCCGTACCCGGCTGGGTACGGGTACGGGTACCCGTTTGCGACCCTGGTGCGGCCGGGTACGGGTAGGCCGTGAGTCACTGGTGAGTAACTGTTTGTCACTCATTTCCCAACGTCTTGTCTCTTCTCACAATTCAAGTTCCTAGAATCAACCCACCCGCGCCTGCAACATGGCTTCATCCCAGAGGTCGCAATCAGGTACCCGATACCCGTACCATACCCGTGCCCGGCCGGGTACGGGTACGGCCGGGTATGGGTACCCGTTTGCGACCCTGGTGCGGCCGGGAAACGGGTACGGGTAAGGAATCAAAACCCGTTTGCGACCTCTGCCCCACCGCTCACCGTTGATGTAGCCGTGACCTCGGTCAATGTCGTAGCCCGCGGACAGCATCAGGCGAGTGCCGCCATCGCCGCCATCGCTTGCCATGGACAGGCAGTCGGTGAAGCCGCAGTCGCTGTTGTGGTTGGGCAGCTTCCGCAATATGGAGCCTGATAGGGAGGGGGGTGGAGGGGAAGGGCGATAAGGGAGGGTTTCAAGTTGATTTTGCGTAACAAGGTTAAGAACTCAAGGGACCAGGATGAGTCTCATTTGCAAGAGAGACCTGGATCAACAAATGTACCGCACCTCCGATTAACACGGTTGGCTACTTACGGTGCGGAAGAAGTTCTACATACGTACACACACACACCACGGAGAGCATCTCTTATGTACAAGGGGATGGGCGACTAACGCCGTTAGATGTGACTTACCGAGCCACAGTCCTGCCCGAGCGGGACCCTGACCCCGTCCATGACCCCGACTGGGACACTGACCGTGCCCCGACCCTCACCAAGACTCCGACCTTGACCGTGACCCCGATCGCGACCCTCACCGCGACCTCGTGACACTGACCGCGACCCCGACCCCTGCCGCGACCCTCACCCGTCCGCCAGTCGAGGACCCGGATGCTGGCGCCTTCGTCGGCGGAGTAGAGGAGGCGGCCGTGGGGTCGCGGCCCCGCCAGGAGGCAGCGCAGGGGGGACGCGCCACGGCGGCGCCCGTCGGCGCTCCACTCCTCGCCCTCCGTGCAGAAGAGCAGGTGCAGGCGGGGGCCCGGGCGCAGCTCCCACACGCGCACCTGGCCATCCCGGCCACCCGTGCACGCCAGCGAGCCGTGCAGCTTGCGCCGAGGGCGGAAGGGGAGGAGCAAGCGAGAGACGAGAGAGAGATAGAGAGACAGAGGGAGAGCCCGAGGTGGAGGAAGAGATCGGAAGGTAGAGATGGGGAGAGAGACAGAGAGAAATGGGGAGATGGGGATGGAGAGAAATAGGCAGGGAAGAAGAAATGCATGGAGAGGGATGAGGAGACGGGGAGAGAGAGATGGGGAGAGCGAGAAAGTGGCAGGGAAGGAGAGAAACATGGAGATAGGCAGGGAGACAGGGAGATGGGAGGAGAAAGATGGGAAGATGGAGAGAGAGAAAGAGGCATGGAAGGCAACAAGCGTGGACAGAGACAGGGAGCCGGGGAGATGTGTAGAGAGAGAGAGATAGATGGGGAGAGAGCCAGGGTGACAGGAAGATGGGGAGATGCAGAGATAGGTATACGGGGAGATATAGGGGTAGCGGATAGAGAGAGAGCAAACGTGAAGTGGGAGGAGTGAAGAAGAGGAGAGAGGGGAAAGAGAGGAGCAGGTTGGGGAGAAAGCGGAGGAGAAAGTGAGGAAGAGAGATTACAAAAATAGAGAAAGAAAGAGTTAGGAGGAGAATTTGGGGGAGAGAGAGGAAGAGGAGAGACAGACGCGGGGAGAGAGAGCGTGGGAGAGAGACGGGGAGAGATAACGGCCGTGTTAACACTTCCCTCTTGCGTCAGACACAAAGACACATGTGGACACACACGTGACAGGTCCTGGCCAAGCTGCATTGGCTTCCCCTTGCTGAATGAATACATTACACGGTCACACTCATCACACACAAAGTGCTTGCCACAAATAAACCACAACGCCTTGCATAAATCACCATGCAAACGGCGGTCATCCTCGCAGCCGCTTTTGGCTTGGCATCTAACAAATACATCGCGCGCTTTCAGATGCGCTTCTGCGGCCGTCTGGACTGCTCTTCCTTCTCATATTAGGAAGCCAATGGAGCTATCTTTCTATATATAAGTAAAACATCGTCTGCTTGTCGGTTTGTGGCTTTGTGTGTGTTCGCGCGATTGCGAAGGATTTGGCTCTCCAACGGTGGGGTTTACGTTGAATAAATAAAAGTAGCCGGGTACCACGCCGTAAGCCCAGCCGTGAGCAAGCGCTATTCCTTTTTCACATCCGTCAACTTGAAATTAGTTTATTTAGCGATTTAGTGCGATTTTTTTGCGCTATTTCTTAATTTATTTGTTCATGACGGGTGCACGACCATACCAACTCACGCGCCTTTGGTGGGGGGGATGGCCCATGCCAAGTCGCACGCCTTCCGTGGGAGTGAGGGGGACATTTTCTTTCGCGTAAAAAATGCTTTAAAAATACACTAAACACTGAGCTTAAATCTTCAGTGTGATGTCCCCCCCCCACCCCCCGATGCGTGCAGTTACTAATATATACAGTCGCTAGATGCTACCACTATAGGCCGTAGATATTACTGCAGAGCGGCCGGGGAGATCGTGGCTGGGAGGGGGGGGTCACGGATAGCAGCCCAGCCTGCCAAGGTGCCACCTCGGCCGGCTGGACAATCTAGGCGAGGCCGGAGGCTCTGCACGGGACTAGGCCTCACAACGCCACTCTGTCAGGTGAGTACTTTGTGCTATAGAGTCGATAAATACTGCTAGAGTCAGCATTCACTGCTGTAATCATAGCAGGTACCACCACAGTCAGTACGCACTGCTGTTAGATTTTTAAGAGTAGTTTTGATATATTTTTTGGCCCGGGCAACGCCGGGTATATAAGCTAGTGCACTTTCAAAACTAATTTCTTTAGAACTGCTTTTTGTGTTAAGTTTGTTGTCCTTCCCCCGTACCTCCAATTAGCATGGTTGGCTACGCACGGTGCAAAAGAAGTTCAACGTACATACATACACAGGCAGGCACACATTCGCATGGGCACACACACACAGACACGAGCACAGGTGTGCTCTCACCTGCAGGCAGGTGATGGCGTCTTCATGAGCACGAAACGACTGCACGCTGGCGCCCGTCGTGAGGTCCCACATGTCCAGCTTCCCTCCGTCTCCCCATCCCCGGCACACACACACACAGACAAAGATCCCCCATATTGCCTTAACAGACTTTTGGGACAAATGCTGTTAGTGAGCACTGATGAAGGCCAGCACAGCACATGGGGGGGGGGGTGGGTGGCCAGCACCACGCCCGAGTGGCGATGTTTGCACACCACAGTAGGTACTCATTTGAGGCTGAGTCAACCTAGGGTCGGCCCAGGACCGTTTCTGAAAATCGTCGTTGTTGTTGGCCGTGAGCGGGAATTGAACTCGGGTCGCCGTAGCGCGTCGCGCTAAACGCTCCACTACCGCTCCCCAAACACAGACACACACACACAGAAACGCACACACACAGACAATACGCTCAGCAGCATAAATGCCAATGTCGAGGTCTGATAGCCACGAGAGGGCTACATTAACAGTTAATCATAATTTACTACAACATTTATTTCCGTACCATTCTCATAGGACAAGGCTATCACAGAGGCGCAGCTATATTTCACAGACACATTCTGCGGTAGATTCACAGTGGAGGAGCGGGGGGGGGGGCGATGATGTTGCTGCTGCTGCTGCTGCTGTGCGTGATACCCACCGAGCGACTTGGCATTGAGTCATTTTTCAACATTTAGAGAATTTAAAGCGTGTCGCGGGGCACACGACGGACGGCCTACTCTTTTTGAGTGACGTCACGGGATCTTGAACGTCGGTGTGCGCGGTGGGACTAAGCTCCGCGGAGTTTCTGTACCCCCCCTTTCTGCGTCGCGGTTTTGTACTCTGTACCGGACTCCAATTTGGAGGGGGAAAAAATAATCCGTGTGTATGCGTGTGTGTACGTACGCGTGTGCGTGCGTGCGTGTGTGTGATGGTGCTCCCGCGAATCACCGGACGCGGAGAGGAGGAGTCCCGGCTCGGGGAGGAACGCGATCGCCGAAACGGGGCTGTAGGTGTAGACGCTCCGCACCTCCTGCCCTGAGCACACACAGACAGAGTCCCCCACGTATAGCCTTTAACAGACTGCTGGGGCAAAGGCTGTTAGCCAGAACCTCACACACACACACACAACAAAAATCCCCCGTATAGCCTTTAACAGACTGCTGGGGCAAGGGCTGTTGGCGAGAATCTCACACACACACACAACAAAGATCCCCCGCATAGCCTTTAACAGACTGCTGGGGCAAGGGCTGTTAGCGAGAACCTCACACACACACAACAAAGATCCCCCGTATAGCCTTTAACAGACTGCTGGGGCAAGGGCTGTTAGCCAGAACCTCACACACACACACAACAAAGATCCCCCGTATAGCCTTTAACAGACTGCTGGGGCAAGGACTGTTAGCCAGAACCTCACACACACGCAACAAAGATCCCCCGTATAGCCTTTAACAGACTGCTGGGGCAAGGGCTGTTAGCCAGAACCTCACACACACACACACACAACAAAGATCCCCCGTATAGCCTTTAACAGACTGCTGGGGCAAGGGCTGTTAGTCAGAACCTCACACACACACACACACAACAAAGATCCCCCATATAGCCTTTAACAGACTGCTGGGGCAAGGGCTGTTAGCCAGAACCTCACACACACACACAACAAAGATCCCCCGTATAGCCTTTAACAGACTGCTGGGGCAAGGGCTGTTAGCGAGAATCTCGCTCACACACACACAACAAAGATCCCCCGTATAGCCTTTAACAGACTGCTGGGGCAAGGGCTGTTAGCAATAACTCACACACACACACAACAAAGATCCCCCATATAGCCTTTAACAGACTGCTGGGGCAATGGCTGTTAGCGAGAATCTCACACACACACAACAAAGATCCCGCGTATAGCCTTTAACAGACTGCTGGGGCAAGGGCTGTTAGCGAAAACATCACACACACACAACAAAGATCCCCGTATAGCCTTTAACAGACTGTTGGGGCAAGTGCTGTTAGCGAGTAGCACTTATGAAGGCCGGCACGGCGCACGAGGGGGTAGGTGGTCAGCACCACCGCCCTTTGTCTCCCCAGTGGCGATGTTTACTACACCGCACCTTGGGGAGGCCCAGAACCGTTTCAGATAATCGTCACGAGTGTTGACCACGAGCGGGAATCAAAATTCGGGTCGCCGGGTTCATACCGCAGCGCACACCAACCGCTACACAACCGCTCCTCACACACAGATGTAACAAGAATAATAATCATAATCAGAACGTCGGTTACTAAAGAGAGGGGGCCATTTGGGTGCATCTAGCTGATTATGGCAGGAAACAGAGACAGGCTGCAAGGTGGCCAGAAACCGGTGCCAACGATTGTCCAAGCTCCGAGGTCTGCCAGTAGGGGGCCACGATTGCTGTGTGTAATCTCAGTTGTGTAATTTTTATGATTATTTTATTATTACTATTTCAAATTTTGTCAAATTTGGACCGTGACGCCGGCGACACAGTGGCCTACCCTTGCGAAAGACATCATGAGATCTCTAACGTCCGCCATGAAGCAAACGGCGTGTGGTGTTTTACGGCGAATGCACCCGCGGCGTTAACCAGGACGACCGCTGGGTCTCAACCGCGAACCTCTACAACGGGCGCAGCGAAGGAGCGACCGTTTTGCGGCCGCGTCACCCACGACGACAACGATCGCTTGTTTTTATAGAGCACCCTGTGTCTCAAAGCGCTTCGCATGCGACGATCGACACACATTGCATCTATATTTCTAACGTCTCAAAGGGCACCCTCCAGCGGCAGCTGTCCCTGTGCGGCACAGGGTGACTCGGCACCCAGCGATCGCTCTCTTTACCTGTGCGCAGAGACCAGATCTTCACTGTGCAGTCACTGGATCCACTCGCCAAGAAATCCTCATCGTCCGCGCAATCAAGAGCCTTCCCTGAACACACGGCAATGACACACACTCCGATTTAGCGATTGCTCTGGTTCAGTAACGACCCCAGTTTAGCAAAGGCCGTAGTTCAGCGAAGGTAAATTTTTACCGATGGCGGTGGCGGTGGCGGCTGGGGCGATGGCCACGCAGGTGACGCTGCCTGTGTGCCCGCCGAGGTTGGCTTCCTCCGTGCCCGTCGCGGCGTGCCACAGCTTCACCGTCGTATCGCGGCTGCAGGCGACGTCGCAACAACACGGCACAGAGCACACGAACAAATGCTCGTACAATACAAAAATGCCATCGTGAAATATGCACAGGGAAGTGACAGGGCCCAGAGGTACCTCTATTTTCAGAGGTTCGCGGTACGATTGCAGTGGCTGCCCTGGTTATTACTGCTGGTGGATTAAGCGTAAAATACTACGCACCGTCTGCTTCACAGTGGTTCGTTGAAGATCCTGTGGCGTTATTTCAAACAAGCAGCCCATTGTGTGCTAGGCATCACGGTCCAATCGAAAAATTACCCCCAAATTACTGAGCTGTGCCGGCCCAGTATCGCGGTGGCTAGATGTTAACTCCCTCGCCTGGTATGCGCCTGTATATATGGAGTTTGCGTGTCTCTCTCTCCGTGGTTGCATGGATTTTTCTGAGTACTCCAGCTTTTCCCTCCACATTTAGAAACGTACATTTAGAGGATTTGGCTGCAATAACTTTCTAGATGATGATGAGCACACTTCGTTGAGCTATCATTTGTGGCCAGGTCACTTCTGAAGAAGAGCTACGTCGCTCAGTGGGGCCTTACCTGATAAAATTGAAAAAATAGTTTGGTTTCAAATAGTTTAGTTTTAGTTCCTTCCTCCGGGGATGGGCTTGAGTCCATCACCGCTCTTAGGGACAATGATAAGTTGATAAGTTCAGCAATGTGCGTGTGTAATTTATTCCTGCCTAAGTGCTCCTCCCTCTCCTTTGACCATTCCCCCGCCCCTTCCCCACTCCTCCCGGCACCCCCTCCTTCCCCCCTGCTCCCTACACTTTCTTTTTAAAGTTCTGTTTCCCCTCACCGTCCCCTCCTCATATTAAAATACACACAGCCCACTCGTGGTCCCCGATCGGTGGAATGGCGAGCCCACTCTTCCCCCCCCCCACCTCCCCGTCGTTAAACTCAGGAGCACAAAGTTCGGGACTGAGGTCCGCGGAGTTTCTGTAACTGCCCTGCCTGCCTCATGCTTTGTACTCTGTAAAATACATAACTTCGACATACATATATGTATGTATATATATGTATGTCGGTGTTATGTGAGTGGACGTGGGTTGACATCCACTCACGTAACATTGACATACATATGCATTTAATTGATGAAGTTATGAATGTATTCCCTTGTGTATCTGGTACTCTGTGTAAAAGCATTCGGTAAATAAATAAAACTGGGCTCCTATTAAAATAAAAATGTTGTCCGTCTCTCTCTCCGCACGAGGGAGAGGAGTACCCCCCCCCCCCCCCCCCCCCCCTCTTTCTCTCTCTCGCGAGAGCTCGCGTGTCCTTGCCTGCCGGAGACGATGTACGATCCGTGGAAGGCGACGGCGGTGACGAGGTCGCTGTGGCCCACCAGCGGCGTCACGGCGAAGCGCGCGTTCCCCCAGCGCTCCCGCAGCCGCCGCAGCCCCGCCGGGGCCACCGGCTCCACCTCCTTCTTCGCCGCCGCCGACACCACCGCCGGCGCCGTCATCGCCGTCGGACGCGTCCCCGCTTCTTTCGCTGACGGACACAAGCGAGCAAGCGCGTGTCGCTTGAGCTAAACCGGCCGGGGCTAGAAGGCCCGCGCACTTCCAATCTCGAACAGCACCTCCGGCTGCCGCTCCGTCGCGGCGGACGCCAAATGCGCACGCACGCACGCACCTGTTTGTCCGGCGCGTGTTTTCTCTGGCGTCCCCTCGCTCCGCGCCTCCTGCTTAGGCTGCTTCGCGGGCGCACACGCGGTCTCTGGGGCAACGTGAGCAGAGCCCCGCGTCCCGCTTCTGCCGTGACAAAAACGGGAGGCACAACAGTGAAGTTCTCCACCGCGCTGCGGTAACATGGCGTCACGACGGCGCGCGCTCACCGCTATCGCAGCGGCCGGGTGACGATGTCGCGACAGCGCACGCTCACCACCGTCAACGCTGACAAGTCACAGCGATTACGGTCGCCCGTTCAGCCATCCGTAGCTCGTTTCTCCTTACAAGCTATTCTCTACATCATAAACGCATGCAGTCGACAACAAACCTTTTCGCTGTTTGTGAGTAGGATGCGAGTTTTCTTTCAAAGGATGGATGCATTTCTTTATCCATCCTATCGATTGCTCTACTGCTCTACTCCCTCTACACACATGACTGTGCCGCCGTTCACCATAGCAACACCATTGTGAAGTTTGCTGATGACACCACAGTTGTGGGGCTCATCTCTGGGGGGGATGAGTCTGCCTACAGGGACGAGGTGGAGCGGCTGACAGCATACTGCAGGGGCAACAACCTGCTCCTTAACACCGCAAAGACCAAGGAGCTCATAATAGACTACAGGAGAAAGAAAACGGACACTCCACCACTAATCATCAGCGGGGACTGTGTGGAGAGGGTGGCAGACTTCTGCTTCCTGGGAGTCCACATTGGGGAGGGCCTGACCTGGAGCGCCAACAGCACTGAGCTTCTGAAAAAGGCCCAGCAGAGACTTTACTTCCTGAGAATTCTCAGGAATAATAACATCACACAGAAACTGCTGGTGTCCTTCTACCGAGCCTCCATCGAGAGCATTCTTACATACTGCATCTGTGTATGGTACACCAGCTGCACAGTGGCTCAGAGGAAAGCGCTCCAGAGGGTCATCAACACAGCCCAAAAGATCGCCGGCTGCCATCTCCCCACACTGGAAGCACTACACAGTTCACGTTGCATCAAAAAAGCACAGAACATTATAAAGGACTCTTCTCACCCTGGACACTCACTGTTTGAGCTGTTGCCATCAGGCAGACGATTCAGATCAGTCAAAACAAGGACAAACAGATTCAAACAGAGCTTTTATCCTACAGCGATCACCACACTCAATAATGCTAATTAATTATTAAGTAATAGCGTTTACAATTGACTGTGAAATAGAGATGTGCAATGACAAAATGTAACCTTATGTGGGTATGTGGGTATACTTGGGCTGTTTTTATATATAGTATAAATTGATTATCTTTCATTTCATTTTATTTTTATTTTCTTGTTTTATTTAATTTAAATTTATGAATGAGGCCCTGACTGGTGAGCATTTTAAATTTCGTTGTACTGGTGACAATGACAATAAACGATCTATCTATCTATCTATTGTCAAAAAATATTTTATACAAATCGAGTGAAACTATATCGTGGCACAGAATCGAGTCCTCCTGAGCCACACGGTCAGCTGGTGATGATGACGATGAGGCCGACTGACCGCTTACTCGCCGATTACACCACGCTACGTAAACCATTGCAACAACGACGCTCGTCATCCGATCATCGGCAAGGTGGCAGCGCAGCAGTAACATTCGCACCTCACGACGACGTCCTGGGTTCGACTTCCGACTATCTGCGTGGAGTTTGTATGTTCTCTCTGTCTGTCTCTCTTTAGGCCTGTCTGGCAATGTCTATTCACTTGTCCAACTGCATTCCTGCCTGCCTGTCTGTCTCTCAGTGTATCGGTGTTTGTCTGCAAGTCTGTTTATCGTTTTGGACGGCAAGGCGGCACAGTGGTAACACTTGTGCCTCAAAGCAAGATGTAACTGGGTTCGATTCCTGACTTGAGTGCCTTGTCTGTACAGAGTTTGTATATTCTCCCATCGTTTCGGCCTGGGTTTGCTCCAAATTCTCCAGCAAAAGAAACTGGGATTGGCAAGAAACCATCCCAATGCTGAAAACATGACCTGCAAATAATTCAATTGGGACTAAACACAGAAACATCAGCCGCCCTTTGCGAAAACATGGCAGGACCCTCCTGAAAAAGTCTGGAAACTTTAGCGAGGCTTTCCTGCGCAAATAATCGTAATAATAACAACAATAGTAATACCCAAACAATGTGGAGACACTGCGTTGGCAGTGGCGCAAAACTCGACACACTCACCAACCAAACTGCCTTAAAAGGAAAACAAAAATAAAAAATGTAATCCGTGACGTTTTGGGCCACAGCCCTCCTTCATAAGCACGTAAATTCCTTGGTAACGACCGAGCTGTTGCGCGTCTCGGTCTCACGTTCGCTTCATGCCGTCGCCTCCGTCGTGCCGAGGCGTAGGCTCGGCGTCGGGGGGCGTTGTCGTCGCTGTCGCCGGATCAGGCGCGGCGACGAGGGGCGTTGTCGTCGCTGTCGCCGGATCAGGCGCGGCGACGAGGGGAGTTGTCGTCGCTGTCGCCGGATTAGGCGCGGCGACGAGGGGAGTTGTCGTCGCTGTCGCCGGATCAGGCGCGGCGACGAGGGGCGTTGTCGTCGATGTCGCCGGCGCGGGGGGCTCCGGGTCCCCCTCCCGCTCCGCGAGAGCCCTCAGCAACCCCGCCAACCTCCGCCGCAGCTCGCATTTCTGGGTCACCTGCGTGCGATTGAACAGTCGGCGCTACGATATGCGACAACAACGGTCGCCGTTCGCCACTAGGTGCCCCGGTTTTCCCTCCGCATTTGGAAATATGCATTTAGAGCATTAGGCTGCTAGAAATTTGCGTATGATAAGCCACTTCGTTGAGCTATCAGTTGTGGCTGGGCAGCTTCTGAAAAAGAGCTACATAGCTCAGTGGGCCTTACCTGGTAAAATAAAAATGTTTAGTTTAAGTGGCAGCGACATCCCGAGGGCACCTGTGCCAGGCCAGGTGTACTTTGAGGCCACGTGAAGTGTCGAAGGCTCTGTTTGCCTTTTGGCGTTCTCTGGTCTGACACTAGTGAGACTAAACCATGAAGAATGCTGTCTCTGGTGTAGGCCAATCAGTTTCAAAGACAATGCTCTATATATTATCAGAACATGATCATTTGCATGTTCACCACAAGTACGTGTGGTTAATGGAGACTTTATTCCTTGCAAAAGGTTTCTATTTGGTGTTTGAACATCTTAACACCTGTTTTATTGCTAGAAAGGGTAGAACCTATTATTTTTCATATTTCGAAGGCTCGCTGGCAGCAGGTCACGGGGCAGACTCAGGTGCTATGGGTTGACCAACTGAGAAGACTGGCAGATGCACCAGCTGTACCCCTCCTGTGCCAACTTGCTGCATTTTAGCCGCCTGCCGGCTCCGCTCATGGTTGCGAGCATCGCTCCTCTGTCCTCCGTTGTTGCTGGAGGACGACCGACTGCCTCCAACTCCCCAGTAGCGTCCTTCACGAGCCTTCTCACCCACTCACACCACAATACAGTTAGACCCCGGCTTACGTCGGGGGAGATGCGTTCCTGAAAGGTGTGACGTTGAATATTGAAACGTCAATCAAAGATATTTACGAGGTTAGATGGTGGAGGCGAAGGCTGAGAGACGACAGGATAACTGAACAAATTAACCCGTAAAAACAAAGTTTTTCACTATAAATCCTTTGTATGCATGGCGGCTAGAGTCTTCTCGTCCTCTGGCTTGAGATGGCTGCCACTTATGGGTCAGATGATTGTCTGCCAGTATTAAGCAATTGGTAATTAAATATTTAATTTGTTTTCCCTAAACAGTGTAAAATTTTGGAAAAAAATGTTCACGAACATTAATTGTCACACACAACGAGTCTGTGTGGAAAATGTCAGCTCGATTGGATCACGGGAAGTGGGTTAAAAAACGAGCGAAAGATTTGCACGGTCCTAAGCAAGCAAGCGAACTTAATATAAAGGATTTAAAAATATATTCGCCTGTGGAGGACGCGGAGATCGATCCCACGACCTTTGGCATGGGAAGCGAGGGCACTACCAACTGCGCTACTCCGCCACGGCCTGTGGAGGTGTCACGCTCTGGGCTCCTACACTCTGACGTTCAGCCAAAGCCATGAATGAGTTCTATTTGAATAAATGTAAAATATTTTTTTTTGCCTAAAAAGTGTAACATTTTGGCAATTTTTTTTCACGAACATTAATTGTCTCGCACAACGAGTCTGTGTGGAAAATGTCAGCTCGATTGGATCACGGGAAGTGGGTTAAAAAACGACCGAAAGATTTGCACGGTCGTAAGCAAGCAAGCAAGCGAACTTAATATAAAGGATTTTAAAAGGACGGACGATGCCTTCAGCGACGTGAGTGTGGGGGTTGAGGCGACGCAAATCGGGTAGCGGCATTAATGAAGTGACTACGTGTTTGCGAAACTACGTAGAGAGGAAAGGCTTAAATCGGGCTATCCACTGCTAGATGAAGCCCTCCGCCAAGTCGCCGCCACCTCTTTGAGGTTCTGCGATGCGACAGTTACACCCGGCATTTAAAGTTTAGTAACAAAAATTGCCTTGGTTTATTTTGGCACAGGTAAAAACCCAGTCGACAATGAATGCCCGTTTTCGATCGTGACCTGGCTACTCAATAGAAACATGGTTCCAGCAAGACAAATGAAAACAATCTAATAACTGTACTCTGTCAAGGTAAAACACATTTATTTATGTTTTACCCGGTAAGGCCCACTGAGCTATAGTTCTTTTTTGTTGTTGCAGACGCGACCTGGCCACAAATGGCAGCTCAACGAAGTGGCTTATCACGTGGAAATGTATAGCAGCCAAGTACTCCAAAGGCACGTTGGTTCTAAATGTTGAGGGGAAAAAAACGGAGGACCTGGAGAAAAATCAACGCGACCACGGCGAGAGAGACACGCAAACTTCAAATATACAGCAGGCTTCATCTTCTTGGTTCTTTCGGTAAAGTCACGTAGAAGGGAAATAATAAAAATAAAACATGATAAAATAATATAATTGTTTTTTTTTATTTCCCTTCTACGTGACTTTACCGAAAGAACCAAGAAGATGAATCCCTGCAGTCACGAAAGCTTTAAATCGAAATATACAGCAGGCGTCAAGGGTCGGGATCGAACCCACGACGTCCTGCACACCAGGCGAGGCAGTTAACATCTCGCCACTAAGTTACGAATGGGCAAGGTCGTGCATCGACAATGGTGCACGTATATGGGCATTGTGTAAACATCAAATGGCAAAGCATTATGACTATTAAGCCACGGATTAATCTGGCTGTCCGCCTGATGATGCTTGCTGCAATTACTGGCGCAACTTCATACTCAGATTGTAAATGTTGTGGATTTGCTCTCCGACACTCCGGTGTGGCTGTACCAGTAACGAATTGGCCACGTTCTGTTTACGTGACAACCCTTTACTAATTATATTCATATTCTTAGGTTTTTTTCGGTAAAGTCACGTAGGTAAAACATTAAAATTAATAAAAGTAAAATAAAAATCACGACGTTTCGGAGGCAACACAAGCTTCCGTCTTCAGGTGGTACCGTCACAGCCACGACAGCCGTATCAAGTAAATGAGAGATTGCAAGAGCTACCACTCCGTTTATATAATGGTTGGAGAGGGGGGGGAAGGGCCAAGTTCGGCACACTTTTTAATTAGCTGTGTCGGGTGGTGGCGGGTTCAACGACACATTGAGATTCACGCGATCTACCCCCCCCCCCAAACCCATCCCCCCATATATTATTTGTAGCCCGTGGCTTATTACCAGCTCATAGACAAGTATCCAAAGCTAAGCAGGGCTCAGCCTGGACACTACTTTGATGGATGGGCGGTCGCTCACGCACTCGTCAGCTGTAAGATACACTGTGGCGGGTACGTGGCGACCATCAGAGGGCAGTGCGGCCGCACCAATTGTTGCGCTTTCCCGCATTCACTATTATAATCGGCGCTGACCAGATTGGTGAAGTATGGTCAAATACAACAAAAAACACCCCACCTCCCCCCCTCGCGACCCGCAACGGCATAGGGGATGAGTCCCGTCGTCCAGCAGTGGGTTGACACAAGGGCTGTTCAACACGAAACGCGTGCTGCCAATGCGGAGCAGCGTTCAATGTGGAGTGACAGTCACACGAGGGGAAGATTCATCCAGCTGTGGAGAGAGCGTGTGGCCCCGGCTGTACGAGACACATTCTTAGTTTTTTTTTCGGTAAAGTCACGTAGGTGAAAAAATTTTAATTAATAAAGTAAAATTGTAATTTTTTACCTACGTGACTTTACCGAAAAAACCCTAACAATATGAATCCTTGCAGTCACGAAAGCTTCAAATCTAGAATTAATGGACGAGACACGTTGCAAACAAGGCTCGCGTTTCAACTTCCCAGTGCACATCGACAGCGCGTCCTCGATCCCGCCTCCCCATTGGCTACGACTCGCACGGCAGGGCGTGGCGTAAGTGTAAATCAGAGTGGGCGTCACCCACTCTGGCCGACTCCAGCCAATCACGTCCCGAGACGCACGACACACACACGCACAGCGACGCATGCGTGTTACCAAATCTAAAAACGGGATTTTGCCGCCCTATTAAAATAACAACATTAACATTTTTTTTGTCAAAGTATGAAATTTTTTTACTTTAATCGCCTCCTCCTCCGTGAGCGTTCGCGGCAGATGTTCGAGGTTTTCAATCTGCCGCAGCTTCTTCCTCAGTTTGCGAATCTCGCCATCGGGCGAACGCCCGCTCTCGGCCATAGAGGACCTCCGCCGTACTCGTCTCACAATCCCCAGTGCACACAAGCAAAGGGGGAGAGGGGATGGTGCGACGCCGTTGCTTATGAGTAGTGGGGAATTGAGTTTCCCATATAAGGGCATGGGCGGAGCGGTTGCAAATGAGATGGGAGTGGACTATGTTAATATATGTTAATTAGGTAGGGTGGTGGGTGGTGGTGGTGGGTGGTGGTGGTGGTGGTGGGTGGGTTGGTGGTGGTGGTGGTGGGTGGGTGGTGGTGGTGGTGGTGGGTGGTGGTGTGGTGGTGGTGGTGGGGTGGTGGTGTTGGTGGTGGTGGGTGGGGTGGTGGTGGTGGTGGTGGTGTGGGTGGTGGTGGTGGTGGTGGTGGTGGTGGTGGTGGGTGGTGGTGGTTGGTGGTGGTGGGTGGGGTGGTGGTGGTGGTGGGGGTGGTGGTGGTGGGTGGTGGGTGGTGGTGGTGGTGGGTGGTGGGTGGGGTGGGTGGTGGTGGTGGTGGTGGTGGGTGGGTGGTGGTGGTGGTGGTGGGTGGGTGGTGTGGTGGTGGGGTGGGGGTGGTGGTGGTGGTGGTGGTGGGTGGTGGTGGTGGTGGTGGTGGGGTGGGGGTGGTGGTGGTGGTGTGGTGGTGGGTGGGTTGGTGGTGGTGGTGGGTGGGGTGGTGGTGGGTGGTGGGTGGTGGTGGTGGTGGTGGTGGGTGGGGTGGTGGTGGTGGTGGTGGTGGTGGGTGTGTGGTGGTGGTGGTGGTGGGTGGGGTGGGGTGGGTGGTGGTGGTGGTGGTGGTGGGTGGGTGGTGGTGGTGGTGGTGGGTGGGTGTGGTGGGGGTGGGTGGTGGTGGTGGTTGGGTGGTGTGGGTGGTGTGGTGGTGGGGTGGTGGTGGGTGGGTTGGTGTGGGTGGTGGTGGTGGTGGGTGGGTGGGTGGTGGTGGTGGTGGTGGTGGGGGTGGGTGGTGGTGTGGTGGGTGGGTGGGTGGTGGTGGGTGGTGGTGGGTGGTGGTGGTGGGTGGGGTGGGTGGTGGTGGGTGGGTGGGTGGTGTGTGGGTGGTGGGGTGGGTGGTGGTGGGTGGGGGTGGTGGTGGTGGGGTGGTGGGTGGTGGTTGGTGGGTGGGGGGTGGTGGGTGGGTGGTGGTGGGTGGGTGGGTGGGGTGGGGGGGTGGGTGGGTGGTGGGTGGGGGGTGGTGGTGGGGTGGTGGTGGGGTGTGGGGGGGGTGGAGGGTGTGGGTGGTGTGGGGTGATGGATGGTGGTGGTGGTGGGTGGGTGTGGGGATGGTGGTGGTGGTGGTGGGTGGGTGTGTGATGATGTTGTGGGTGGGTGGTGGTGGTTGGGTGGGTGTGTGGGTGATGATTGTGGGTGGGTGGTGGTGGTGGGTGGTGGTGGTGGTGGGTGTGTGGATGATGATTGGTGGGTGGGTGGATGGTGGTGGGGGGTGTGGGTGGATGGTGGTGGTGGGTGGTGGTGGTGGGTGGGTGTGTGGATGGATGATGATTGTGGGTGGGTGGATGGTAGTGGTGGGTGTGTGGATGGTGGTGGTGGGTGTGTGGATGATGATGTGGGTGGGTGTGTGGATGATGATTGTGGGTGGTGGTGGGTGGATGGTGGTGGTGGGTGGGCGGGTGGGTGGATGGTGGTGGTGGTGGGTGGGTAGGTGGATGGTGGTGGGTGGGTGTGTGGGTGGATGGTGGTGGGTGGGTGTGTGGGTGGATGGTGGGTGGGGGTGTGGGTGGATGGTGGTGGTGGGTGAGTGGATGGATGGTGGTGGGTGGGTGTGTGGATGGGCGATGGTTGTGGGTGGGTGGTGGTGGGGTGGGGGTGTGGGTGGATGGTGGTGGTGGGTGGGTCGATGGATGCTGGTGGGTGAGTGGATGGATGGTGGTGGGTGGGTGAATGTTAGTGGTGGGTGGTTGGTGGTGGTTGATAGGTGGGTGGATGGTGGCGGTGGGTGAGTGGGTCGGTGGGTGGGTGGTGGGTGGTTGGTGGTGGTTTATAGGTGGGTGGATAGTGGTGGTGGGTGAGTGGGTCGGTGGGTGGTTGGTGGTGGGTGGGCATGTTACCAAATTGTGGGTGGATGGTGGTGAGTGGGTTGTGGTGTTGGTGGGTGGATGGTGGTGAGTGGGTTGTGGTGTTGGTGGGTGGATGGTGGTGAGTGGGTTGTGGTGTTGGTGGGTGGATGGTGGTGAGTGAGTGATGGACACACCAAATGTAGTCGACCGGCAGGTCACGTGTGGTAGGATAAAATGTGGGTGTTCCCACGTCTTTAACCATGGCGTATGACCAATGTGGAAGAGTAGACCAAATACCCACAAGACGGGCTCTCCAGAGCTCTGTCGAGTGGAGATCATTCCGCTAAAATTGTCAGAAATTGCAGGACCGCACCTCTGTCTTTACGCCTATACCACTACGGATATGTAGTGAATCTAGATTTGAAGTTTTCGTGACTGCAGGGTTCCATACTCTTTGGTTCTTTCGGTAAAGTCACGTAGGTATAAAATAAGTTAAATTAGTGGGCCCACTTCAGCAATTGTTTCTTGCTGTGGTTATCCCACCTGATGACGGACGCTTGTGTTGCACCCGAAACGTCGTGATTTAATTTATTTTATTCAATATCTACGTGACTTTACCGAAAGAACGAAAGGATATGTAGTGGTTGAAGATCTCATCCAGCAGTGGATTTACCATGGTTGAGGATGATTGTACAAGTGATTCGGTGATGCAGCTGCGTTGGCAGTGGTGCACAGGCACTTAACTAAATAAAAACCGTAACACATTCGTGACAGCACGTTCTTATGAAGGGCCATTGCACGAAACGTTGCCGGTTATATATTTTTCTAAGGCAAAAAAAACCTTAACGAATTAAAAAAAAATGTTTTTATTATTGACTGGATAAGCGTCGCTGCAAGAACAGAAATAAAAATGTATTTTGACTTAAGAATCGAATAAGGAAAAATTTGAGGCGCGCGTTACGATTAATCGAATCTTTTCTGAGCGAACCCTATTATGCTAATGATTCGTTATTCTAATGACCCGGTATGCTAATTATCCGGAAGCGAGCGTTTTAAAGCCCACGCGCGCGCAACGCTTGCTAATAAAAATCGGAAGTTTCCGCCGGCAAACCGGAAGTGTATAGTAATTAGCTCCTTATACGAGATAATTATCCCCCGCCCCCACCCACTTTGCTGGAGTGGGCGGGGCCATGACGGGGTGGGCGGGGCCATAATGAGGGGGGGGGCGGGGCTATGAGTGAGTGGGTGGGTGGAGAGGGAGGGAGGGGTGAGGGGGTGGGGAGGAAGGCGGGGCCATGACGGGGTGGGCGGGGCCATGATGAGGGGGGGGGGCGGGGCTATGAGTGAGTGGGTGGGTGGAGAGGGAGGGAGGGGTGAGGGGGTGGGGAGAAAGGCGGGGCCATGACGGGGTGGGCGGGACCATGATGAGGGGGGGGGGGGCGGGGCTATGAGTGAGTGGGTGGGTGGAGAGGGAGGGAGGGGTGAGGGGGTGGGGAGGAAGGCGGGGCCATGACGGGGTGGGCGGGGCCATGATGAGGGGGGGGGGGCGTGGCTATGAGTGAGTGGGTGGGTGGAGAGGGAGGGAGGGGTGAGGGGGTGGGGAGAAAGGCGGGGCCATGACGGGGTGGGCGGGACCATGATGAGGGGGGGGGGGCGGGGCTATGAGTGAGTGGGTGGGTGGAGAGGGAGGGAGGGGTGAGGGGGTGGGGAGGAAGGCGGGGCCATGACGGGGTGGGCGGGGCCATGATGAGGGGGGGGCGGGGCTATGAGTGAGTGGGTGGGTGGAGAGGGAGGGAGGGGTGAGGGGGTGGGGAGGAAGGCGGGGCCATGACGGGGTGGGCGGGGCCATGATGAGGGGGGGGGGCGTGGCTATGAGTGAGTGGGTGGGTGGAGAGGGAGGGAGGGGTGAGGGGGTGGGGAGAAAGGCGGGGCCATGACGGGGTGGGCGGGACCATGATGAGGGGGGGGGGGCGGGGCTATGAGTGAGTGGGTGGGTGGAGAGGGAGGGAGGGGTGAGGGGGTGGGGAGGAAGGCGGGGCCATGACGGGGTGGGCGGGGCCATGATGAGGGGGGGGGCGGGGCTATGAGTGAGTGGGTGGGTGGAGAGGGAGGGAGGGGTGAGGGGGTGGGGAGGAAGGCGGGGCCATGACGGGGTGGGCGGGGCCATGATGAGGGGGGGGGCGGGGCTATGAGTGAGTGGGTGGGTGGAGAGGGAGGGAGGGGTGAGGGGGTGGGGAGGAAGGCGGGGCCATGACGGGGTGGGCGGGGCCATGACGGGGTGGGCGGGGCCATGATGAGGGGGGGGGCGGGGCTATGAGTGAGTGGGTGGGTGGAGAGGGAGGGAGGGGTGAGGGGGTGGGGAGGAAGGCGGGGCCATGACGGGGTGGGCGGGGCCATGATGAGGGGGAGGGGCGGGGCTATGAGTGAGTGGGTGGGTGGGTGGGGAGGAAGGCGGGGCCCGCGCGCGGGGAGGAGGAGGAGAGCGCGAGGGAGCAAAGAGAGAGCGTTCGAAGAAAAAAAGCGGAGACGCCGCGCCGAGAGAGAGAGAGAGAGAAAAAAACTCTCCCCCCCCCCTGTCCGTGTCTCTCGCAAGCTCGACTCGGAGCGGCCAACGGCAAAGGTGCGTTTCGCTGCAAGGCGCCGAGCATTCCGCTTTTCGCCGTCACCACTTCGTATTTTATTCGTCAGCCGAAGCGGTGTTTTTTTAACAGCAAGCTGCTCGCTCGTTAACCGTCGTAACACTGTCGTTTAATTGATTGCCCGCGCTTTATTTTTTTTTTATAAAAAGGCGCGTCAGGTATGCGGAGCCTTGAGGGGGGCGGGGGTAGGGGGGGGCGTAGCTGAGGGGCGGGGCCGTTGGGGGGGGAGGTATAAAAGCGCGCGATCGCCCGTTGCATTTCCCAGCGCGCATCGGGTTCCTCCGGCGTTCCCATTGGTCGCCGGGCGCGTCACGTGCCTCGCCCGCGCCGGTCGGTGGGCGGTGCGCGCGCCACGCTCTCGACCAATGGGAGCGCGCCGTTTCCCGCCAACGCCGCGCGTGTGCAGTAGAGATTTTAAAAGGGCGGGGCCGGGTGGGGAGGGGTGCGTGAGGGGCGGGGCCCGCGTGTGGGGGGGGGAGTGGATGAGGGGAGGGGCCGAGGGGGGGTTTGCGGGTGAAAAAAATGGCGGCTCTTTTTTTTCTTTTCGTTTTTTTATCTTTTTTTTCTACCCCCATTTTTTTTTGCTTAGAGTTTTTTTTCTTTTGCCCACCTCTCTCCGGCTGAAGTGGCGACCGCCAACGTTACCCGTGGCGAAATTGAGGGAAATTAATTGCGCGAGAAAATGTTTTTTTTTTACCTTTGAAAATAACCAACATACGTGTTGTGTGTATGTATATATGTAAACGCGCGCACCAGACAAAAGAACCCACTGTTTTATTTAAGCTCACATTGTTAACGAGCCCACTATTAAGTGCGAATTTTAATGAGCTTCCGACACAAGTGATGCGAATGAGGAGGCAACGTGATTATAAAAAAAACAGCACAGGGCAATCAAATCTCCCAAGCTGCCTTTGTCTCGTTTGTTGAAGGCTGAGCCGACCTAGAGGTGGTACAGACACGTCTTGTCTTTAGTTAGCGATGGTGCTATCAATGCTGGCAATATAGTGGTGAGTTTAACTCATCATAATATTGTGCATGTATGGTTGTGCGTACGAATGAAAAACAATTTGCTAGCATCTATTGTTAGTGATTGTGGTGGTGGTGGTGGTTATTGATAGTGGAAGTTGTATTGGTTAAACCACGCGTGTTGTGTGTCGTTTTAAGGCCGAGTCGACGTAGGGGAGAGCTGGCCTGTTGAGAATGGCTGTAAAATCGTACAGTATTGAAATTCCCGTCTCGGCAATCCATCCTTGGTAAACGATGTTCGTAGTGGACACGCCAATGCAACATACATACAAATATGCAGGTATTCGTACATGCAGTTGTCATAGGATTATGTGTATACGTAATATAACTAATCTAATAATATACGTGCACAGTTCCACACGTAAACAGCTCAAAATACACAGGGGTTTCTGTGTATATTTACACAATAATATGCTCACACGCGTGTACATATACACACTTGTACACAAACATTTACATATGCAACACGTGTACATTCACGTTGCCACGTGTACTTTGTAAAAATGTGAGAAGGGTTACATGCAAACCTCGTGTACATAGAATATACATGCGCATACACACGTGTACTCACACGTACGCGTATACCTACACGCACGTAAGCACATACGTGTTCGTACTCACACACTTGCACACACGAGTCAGCATGAACACTTACACACGTGTAATACAAATGCAAAGATCCCCCGTATAGCCTTTAACAGACTGTTGGGGCAAGTGCTGTTGGCGAGTAGCACATATGAAGGCACACGAGGGGTGGGGGCCAGCACCATGCCCGGCCGCCTTTGTCTCCTCGGTGCTGATGTTTAGCCTACGCACCAGGTGCTCATTTAAGGCAGAGACGATCTAGGGGAGAGGCACGGGACCTCTGCAAGATAATCGGTACCGGTGTCGGTCGTGAGCACGAATCGAACTCGAGTCGTCGAGTTCGTCGCGCTGCCCGCTAACCACTGCACCACCGCTCCGCACACGTATACATTCACGTAAACATGCATTCCAAACATACACACTTCAATGCAGGTAATGCTGTGTGCGTACACAATTATAAATGTACAAATACACGCGCAGCAGCATACGCACGTACTGTCGAAATGCACAAGTGATTACCATATATGCAAAACTATACCCACACCTGTATGTGGACACATTAAAGTACTATACCGTATATATACTCACAAGCATACGAAAACACCCTTGAGTACAATATGCAAGTATACATGCATGATTCAGTACACAAATATACGTAGACACCCATCTCGTACATCATCGACTTCACGTGTGCACACGTGCACTCTGCACCATGCAATCATACATGCAACTGCCCACGCTCCACATGCACAGACATGCATTACGACTGCGCACGTATACAAGCATGCTTGTCCACACATGGACACAGTGTATATAGTTAATGTACAACTTATGCATGCACAAACAAGTACAGTATGTGCACGTAGGCACATAGTGTGTACAGTGCATGTCCAACGTATGCATGCATACAGTACACGTGTAGTATATAATATACGTGTACTCATTTACAGTCTTTTGTCAATCCATTGCTGGATGAAGACCTCCCCACAACTTGCATTGAACTCCTATTTGTGCTGAGCACACACGTGCACTCTTTAGCATCTGCACACGCAGAAGTGTAACTGTACACGTCCTGTGAGTGTAAACAGTGAACGTGTGTAAGCACACATCATCACACGTAATGCACAAAGAATATCGTCACACGCGAGATTACGTAAACATGTATTTACACGTGTGTGGACATGTACGGCCGTGTACACATTTCCTACATATATGCAGTGCTAAATACTAAATGCATTGAACCGTACACAGGGCCATACATTTGCTTTACACAAGTATACGTGCGTGCACACACATGTTCACACTCGATGTGCAGTATTACACTCGCGCGTACACAGCGTGTTGACTCGCCACCCTTGATCAATCTCCTGCGTAGTGTGTACACCCGTGTGCACGTGCCGTGCGTTTTTGTTGTTGTGTTTAGTTTAGTTGGCTACGTACGGTGCGAAAGAAGTTAATCATATTGTACATGCACAGTGCGCATTCCACGTGTGGTACAGTTCATACACACGAGCACACAAAACAAACACCCCACCGCCTCCCAAATGATTCTTTTAGACCATAAAACAAGTGTGAGTGCACCTACGAAGGGCTGGCACGGCACATGGGGCTGGCTAATCGATCCACGCGTGTGAATTGCAGTACGCACGTGTGTGCGTGCGCCAGTTCACACGCCCACGTGTGCTGCACGCGCACGTACTGTACTACGATATCCGAGCACGTGTGGGTCGTTACCACGGCGGCCGTGCCAGGCTAGGTGCACTCCGAGGCCACGTGAAGTGACGGATGTCTCGCTGCGATCATGGGACAGACCCACCCCCCCGGTGCCGTGGGTTGACTGAGATGACTGGCAGATGCACCACTATTTACCGCTCGTTGTTGTGAGCGTCGCTCTGTTTTCCTAATAGCGTACTTCACGAGCTTCGCCCACAGAGGCCGATCTTAACACTGCTGGTTACCGGTCTTTGGCAAGTCCATGACCCAGCCATAAAGAACGTACATGCACACACGTGCTCATATATACACATACATACAGTACAGATAACATGAGCTATATGTGAGCTCCTACACTACTGTGTGTGTGAGAGAGATGGATGGGGAGCGGTAGTGTAGCTGTTAGCGCGCTGCCGAGTCGAGATTGCCGCTTATGGCAAACATCGGTGGCGATTATCTGAACCGGTCAACTTAAATGAGTAACGCGATGCGGTGTGTACACATCGCCACGAGGGAGACGAAGGCGGCCTGGCGTGGCGCTGGCCACCCCCCCCCCCCCTTTGTGTGCTGTGTCGGCCTTCATATATAAGGTGCTCGCTTAGGCACTTGTCCCGACAGTCTGTGAAGGGGGGGGGGGGATCTTTGTACGCACTTTACGTGGAAGCTCATAGTCAAATATAGGCTTACGGGTCAACCAACGTGGTGTGTCCGTGCATACTTAGCACGGGGAGCGGGAGGGGTGTCGATCGAGTCCTAACCAAGGGGAGGAGTAGGAGGGGATGGTGCTTTGTGGTGATGATAATGGTGATGATGATGGAGATCGAAGGATACTAATGTTGATGGGGAGGAGGGAGTGAGTGAGATGAAGACGGGGTGGTGGGTGTTTGACTCCGCCTCTGAGAACATGGCGACTGCGGCTGCCATTTTTGGGTTTTTTTTCCTTTTGTCTCGTTTGGTTTAAAGGGAGGGTGGAGAGAGTGGAGCGATGCGAGAGAGAGAGACGCAGGGCGAGAGTAAGGCAGACTGGATGGTGCACATACAGAGGGAGGGGGTGCTAGTGGCTCACCTAGAGCCCCCCCCCCCCCCCAATTTTGATTCGATTCAAATTCGTTGCGTGCTGCTGGAATGAGAAATTTTGTGTTTTTCTTAGGGGGCGCGGGGAGGTTCGTTATTTTTTTAGTCCAAACTCTTTACTTCCCCCCCCCCCCACTTCTGTTTTGACTACGTGATGGCTGCGTTTTTTTAAAGTACTGTACTGTTATTTTTCTTTAAAAAATGTGCCACGGTGTTATTTTAAAGACTTGCATGTGTCCCCCCCCCCCTTCACACAATGCAGTGGCGTTTATTAATGGTGCATTGTGATGTTCCAAAATGTAATGCAGTGGTGGGTATTTGAAGGGTCTTTTAGAAAATATGTATACGGTAGTGTAGACTTGTGTAAATTGTACAGCATTTCATACTAAGTACCGTATACGTTTTAGAAAAAAAAATTATACGTATATGACTGGAGTTTGTGTTTACAACTTTCTAGAGTGTGCTGTCAGTTGTGATGTTTGATAGGCGTCTCCATTGGCGACTGAGCCAATGAGGGGTGGGTATGGGGGGGTAATTCCACATTCCCATGACGGGGCTGGAGAGAAAAGCTACTAATGACGAC